TCAGAAATCGCATGTACAGGCACGAGGGAAATGCAGAGGAGTTAGTAGTGTAAATCAAACCTGAAGAAGTCTGAAAACTCAGACTCCATCCAGAAAATCCTCTTCCAATAGTAAATAACTCAGTGTTCCTCTGACCCAGCAAACCAACTAAGCCCAAGGTCCAGGAGCACACATGCCAAAGCAAGCCACAGGAGCAGGACCCCAAGTAGTAAAGAGGTGTGACCTGCTGAGTACTTGGTTAACTCTAGTGACCAAGCCAGGTCCACTGTGGGCCCAAGGTGCCTTGATGCAGGTGTCTTCTATGACAGCAAAACTGTTCCTGGTCTCACTCCACCCTCCTGGGGGTGTCTTGACACATGAACAAGGCTGGTGGCTCAAGCTGACCTCATGTAGGTGTGTGGTCTGTACAGAAGTCAGGTTGTTTTCAAACAACAGCAAACTTCAGGTTAAAGTCAGCCAAATTTTATTACCAGGTGCTCCCACAAATATCCCTACAAGAGAGGTAGGTCAGTTCTGGAGAACACACAATTCCCAATTACTAACTGGGAGCCTTTTGAAATACCAGAAGTCATTATCCAGGAAAAAGAAAAGAACTATCTCTCAAGAGACAAAGGAAATGCAGGCAGAGATAGAAACAGAAGTCAGGTATAGAGAGAGTGAGACAGGCAGGAAGGTTGAGAGGGAGGGTGAAAGAGAGGAGAGAGTAGACATTAGAGGCATCGGAGTCACACAGGTGGGCACAGCTGCACAGCCAGCAATGGCCAGGGCAGGGGCCACACCAGACGTAACAGTTCAGATGGCTGTTTGTCATGTAGGACAACGGTCTGCGTTCATCATCACCAGTCTGTGGTCTTCCTGGACACACTGGAAAAGCAAAGTCCCCTCTGTATGGCGAATGCTGCCCATAACTCTAGGGTTTATTTGCTTGGTTCCCATGGAAATCAAGAGTCCTCAAAGCGCAGCTCTCCTAGCGTCCTGATGTCACCAGATGGACGACTGGGGAATGCTGGATGCAACAGTTCACAGCCAGCTGCTGGTCACTGCCACTGTGGCCACCACCATCCAAGCCCAGCTCCTGGCAAGTGCCACAGGCCGTGCCTGCTGGGTGCTGGTCCTGTTGCTGATCTTTGTTGACTGCTGGGCTCTGGAGCTCTTTAGTGCTAAGGGCCCTTAGTGTTTAGTTGGGGAACCACAAATCACATGGATGATAGAAACTGTCCGAGCCCCTCCTTACCCCGTCTTGTGGACCACCTGGAACATGAAAGTCCCCACCGTTTCTGTGGTCACTGCTGGGCTGAAGGGTGATGAGGCTGTGGGGCTCACAGGGCAGGATGAGGTCTGCTGAGGATGATACAGCAGGGCAGGTACCCAGGTATGGCGAGGGTCTTACCTTGTTTCTTTATGACCTTAATCTTGCCAGTTCCAGCACTCCTTCATGCTTCCAGCAAAAGTGCCCTCCCTCCCCCTGCACTTCTCACGGGAAAAATAAAAGCTGGAGAGTTTCTTGTCTTTGCCCATCCTGAGGTGTTGATCTCCCAGCCCCTATGTCATACATTACTGAATTAGTTTTTTTTTCATCCTGTGCTATCATCCTCAAACAGGACCCTGGCCAGGTCCGCAGTAGTGTTTATTGCTGTATCTCCTGAAATGACCTCTGTCCACACCGCTCAGGGTGAAAGTCCCAAGTAGACTCACAGGACCTTCAGAGCCGCACCGCCTGAGACATGAGTCCCTGCTGGTCACAGCCCCGCGGGAGTGAGTGTATTTCACCATGGGCCCCGGACACCAGGGGCCTCGCACGGCCTCCAGCGCTGCTTCTCTGCTGCTGGATGTAGCTTACCGCAGCCTGGGGTAGGGTTCAGTCCAGGGTCAGCAGGCCCCGGCAGGAACATCAAGAGGGCGAGGCCTGCTGGGCAGAGCCACGAGATCCTGGAGGGAAGTGGAGCAGGGATCGTGCAGGACAGCGAGGGTGAGAAGCCAGGATGGGCTGAGGTCCCTGCAGCAGGACAAGGATGGCGGGAGCGCACCGCTCTTCCTCCAGGGGGCGCGCGAGACAGTGCAGAGACACAGGACAACTGAGGTGACTGCATGGGGTTCTAACAGGAAGACATTACCATGCTTTATGCTTTATGTCACGAAAGCAGAAACTGCTGCACAGACACTTATGTCTCCTGTCAGTATAGGCTGTTTCTGAACCTGTGACCCTAAGTGCTCCCCTGTCCATCCTGTTAGGATTAAAAAAGTGGATGTCCCCAGCTCAGCATGACTATGGGGACAGTTTTACTACATGGCGGAGCCAGGTATGGGATCATGAAGTGTTCTAGCTGCAGTTGCGGGTGAGCTGCCCTCTCCTAGGCAACTGGTGTAACACTATGGTGCCAGAACAGGTCCTGTGTCTCCTGGACCCACTGAATACCTGGGGACACTCAGCACTGAGTGTCCACCACAGCTTTTGGAGTAGTAAATGTGACCATTAGCTGTCAGAAATGATGACGCTTGGTGCAATCTTGCTGATCTTCACCCCTGAGCCAAGACGTTATAGATCAACATGAGACTCACAGACCAGCCCAGCTGTCCACAGTTCAGGCAGATGTGCTATTCCCAGACGAAGGCCCCCTTCCACATGTATTTTAAGCCACCACCACAGTGTTGTCAATGTCATGATAGTAACTCCAAAGGTCCTGCCATGCAGGTATATAGGACATAAACCAAAATCCCCACCTCCGCTAGACTAGGAAATAATGTGGCTTCTGTCAGGACCCCAGCCCCTTCTGTCACCGATTCCAGTAACTGGCAAATTTTATCTCTCAAAATACACAACGCTGCCCTCAGAGAAGCTCTCAGAAAAAACTGTATTTCCCTTGTTAGTCTCACTTAATTGTTTCAAATAGTCACACTCTAAAAACATTTTAATGTAAAAATTATAAATGTACCCTAATGAATGTCTATCATGGCCCAGACGTTAACCATTATGAATTCAAGTCCCAATACTTAATTCCAACCCCATGTCATCCATACTATTCATTCCCTTAACATTTTCTTATATGTCATGTGTAAACACATTTTCTTTACATATGAGCGACTTTAATACTCTTTCATGTGATTTTGTATTTTGAAACTTATTCCACCCATCATGTGGTTAAACCATGCACTCAGGTACTTCTGGACCCAGAAACACAGACTGTCCAGTAGCCCAGGACCCTGTCCATCAGATATAGAGCCCACTTCAGCCTGAACTTCAACCATGCCACAGCCTTTCTTGATATTCAGGTAATACATTGTTGATCACTTCATTGATGTCACCCCTGATTCCTTCCACGTGGTGTGATCGTTTTTCTGGTGCCAGTTCCCCAGACACTGTAGGTCATAGACAGCAGAAAAGTAACTCTATTTAATAAATTTAAAATCACTTTCAAAGGCCATAATGAAAACAGCATCGTATTCCACACGAGGAAACTCGCCAATCTCCTTTGATAATAATAACAACGCCGGAGCAGCTTCTGATCAGACAGCAGAAGACTGACAAATGCAGCTGCTCACGTTCTGGGACCGTTGTTCTGGTTCCTGGTGGGTTGGGGACTTTGATTTGTTCGCAGTGGGGAGACCCACACTGTCAGTGAGTCCTTCTTTCCACCGAACTTGCTAAGTCCTGAGGCCCTGTACCACTGAGTGTCTCCAGTGTCCCTCCTAGGGTCTGAAGAACTCACCACCAGGCTGTCGGCAGCCTCAGCCCCACAGGAGTCACAGGCCCCCCAGGAAGGCTCACGAGACACAGCCCGGACGCAGGAGAGCACCTGAGCTCAGCCTCAGCTACAGACTCTGTGTTCACCTCACAGCGTTTCTTGATTTCAATGATACAGAGAAGTAGAACCTCCACATCAGACATCGTTTCCAATTTTCCCAATGTCTCAGCTTGATTATACACAGAGCTACAGTCATGGCTCACAGCAATCCCATTTCATACAGACTTTCTAAGACAGATACCAGGGCTTCTTTCATGACAATGGCCTGGGACGTGGTTTTACCCCAAACACTTAAACCTTATTCCAGATGACCCCATGGCCTGATTTTCCTCATGTACTGGAAAATTTGACCTTTTTTTCTTTTCTTTCTTATTAGTGAATCTTTTATTTCTTGAGCTCTCAGTTTGCTTTGGTATTATCTTACTATATTGCATACTGTCTCCTAAAATGTGCTCGTTTGTACCCCCTTGCCAAAGTAAAGTCCTACGAAGGTCATTAAAATCTGGCTATTCTAAAAGTCAATGGAGAGTAGTATTTTCTTTAAGCCTCATGTTGGTTTTTACTCTCTCTCTCCGGAGAGAACCATCAACCAATCTACTCCTTGAGCTCATAACAGCCAACAGCATGACTCAAACCTACTCATTTAATGTGAGAAACACATGGAGGTGCCATTAGCCTAAAAAAAGTATCCCTCATACTGTGGGAATAATTATGATCTGTGAAAATTTCATGTCTGTTTTTTTTTGGAAAATGGCATAAAATTTAAAAACATTGTTGCAGCAAACCCACAAAGACTAATTGTACTAGGATTTATTTTTCATGCCCAAGAGAAAATATTATTTTCACCACTTAAAGTAACTTTACTCTTATTCTGTAAAATTTCTTCTACTATGCACATCACCTAAATATACCAAGAAATGGACTTAAAACCAATATTAAGACATCAAGGTACTAATAATATCATAGCTTCTTTTAAAGAAAAAGTGCTGTATTTATTTATTTTGAGGCTCGGGCAAGAGGCCGGTCCCTTGAAGCTCGTGAAGAGCTGATTAAGTCCGCGCCCGAGCACTTTCCTTATCAGGCCCCCTCAGACCTGCCCTGTGTGCCTGGCACCCGCCACCACACAGCGAGGACGGACCTGTGCCCAGAGCCCAGGACCTCGCTCAGAGGAGCCCGTCCGCAGGGTGAGACGGAGCCGACCGCCTCCGCACGGGCACAGGCTGCTTCTGACCCAACCGCCGTCTCCTGCCCTGGGGCGGCTCCCTGGGGGCCCTGCTGGCAGCTGCCCCTCCGGAATGTGAGTAACTCTTCTGCTGCGCTTCCGCCCACGCGTCCCTGTGTGGTGACTCCTCGTCAGAGAGATCTGGGACCACACAGCACTTCAAGCAGAGAAACTTGAGTGTGTGGGGATCGGCATTTTCTCTGGGTTCCTGAGGCCATGAGGGAAGAAAGCAGCTCCCTAGCTGCATTTGTTAATAGAATTGCTGGGAGGCCTGTGGGTTTTTATTGGTATTGCTTATTTTTTGATTTTGCATTTATAAATGACGGAGGAAGGGAACACCGACCCTGCTCCACTCCCCTGCACTTAGGCGTTCTGTCCAGGACTCAGCTTCCCCTTTTCCCACAGGAGAGTGACTACAGGGGACCGACCCGGACCACGGCTGTGACAGAGCGAGGACAGGGCCCGACCTCACCCTGAGCCGCCGGGATGCAGCGCCGGGCCCCGAGCTTCAGGCCCCTCCTGCTCTGGCTCCTGCTGCCCTGGCCAGGCGCAGGTGAGTGAGGAGGAGCCGGCGGGCGGGACCCCGCTGCGCTCCCCGGGCACAGAGGCCTCAGCCTGCGCTGCCCCAGAGGTCTGGGCCTCCCCTGGGCGCCCTCTCCGCCCTCCTTCCCTCCCTGTCTCCTCACTTTTGAGGGAAGACTGCTGCAGCTCCTCGCGCTCATGTTTTACTAATACACTACAAATTAAGATGTTCAAATAACATTTTTTGAGCAATTCTTTTCAGTTTTGCCCTTCAACTTTTTGTAGTTTTAAAATTTATTTTGTATTTTTACATAGTTACAGTACATTATAATATCAACTGTCCTGGAAGATCAGTTCATGGACACAACATACCTTAATTTTCTTTTTCTCCTTTCCCTGCCCAAATGCAAAACCCTGTTTCCATATTTTTCCATTATTTTGCCTTGAACCGTTTTCTGAAAACAGTTTTTTCTGAAGTTGGCTCTGGACTCTGTGTGAATCTCCCTATAGTCACGCGCTGCCCCTGCTGGGCACCGGGATTGGGCTTGTGCCCGGGGCCAAGCTCAGCCCACACCACCGTGGAACTTTTCAAAGGACCTTTGATTTGTTTTCCATTTTTTAAAAAGATATTATTTCATACATCGTTCTTCTTTTTATTTCACACTAGGCTGTAAAAAGGGGAGCCACAAGTGCATACAAATCTGTAGTTGTCGTTTCTGAAAGGTTTGGGATCCATTTTTGAATTCTTTGCACAAGTGCTTCAGGTTTATAAAGAGTGTAAATTGATCAGATTAAATACCCTTCCTGACAGGGAAGGTGGTCTGATTTTGGATACCTGCTCTGCAGCGAGGGTGTGGCTGAAATAAATGTGGTGTTCAACTGCAAGGAAAAACCCAAAGTGAAAGTGAAATATCAGGACATCTGAACAGATAGTCTATATTTTAATGAAATACATGCTAGTGAGCATGAAATGGATAAACATACTTTGGCAAAACAGGCAGGATGGTTTTGCGTTATAAAACTAGCTCTGCTGTCTTCCCAGAATACTTCACCTACTAAACCGCTAGGAATTCAAACTTGAAAAAGGAATTTGTAAAACAAGAGAAAAAGCTTACTTAGCCTATTCACCTTTTTTAAAAAAGCACAGTTAGGCTTGTTTAAGGACTTTCTATTCAACAAAACTGGAACAAAAATAGAAAGTCAATACTGTCAATAAGTAAATAAAAAGAGTCAAGTTTATTCTGCTGAGATCCAGTGTTGTCCATTGGAAATCATTCTAACTTGAAAAAGAAACAAAGAAAAATAAAAATTGTCTTAAATTTGTGGAAACACATTGACCCCGTAATTTTCTTTTAGAAGGTTTGGCTTTGAAAATAGTCAGGAAAGAAATGATAAAATGAAATAATAATGTGAAATATATGCTCAGAATGTTAGATAAATCTATAGAAATGAGCATTTTCTCCTACAACATAGTATTAAAAAGCTAAATCCTGTGAATTACCTTTGTTTTTAAATTTTAAATGATCTATAATTAATTTTATTGGGATATTTGCTCTCATTTTAAAATAAGTTCTCAAGAAAATAATTCCATTTAAACACTGTGCCTACAGCTCAGATTCTACCACATTCCCTGGAGCGTGGTCCCAGGGAGACGTGCTGCTCCAGGGATTTCACACATTTCACTCCTCCCAGGGAAGTGGAATCACATTCATCTTTCTGCTTCGCTGTGTCCACATGGCCTACAGAATCCTAACTGTGTGGAAGACTTTCACTGCCAAACTGACTTTGCTTTTCTTCAGTATTTCTTTTTATTTTGCTCGTCTTTTTGTCATTAATATTTGAAAAAGGAAATAGCACTAAAAATGAATTTTAAACCTAAAATTTCCTCAGATTCCCTGCTGTCTGCTCTGGGTGTTGCTTCCTGCACTTCCATGCTCCTAAACACATGAATGGTGCCCACATCACCTTTCCCTCTCCAGCAGGGACTTCCCAGATGAGAGCCGACCTCTGCTTATCCTTTCCTCTCTCTTCTCTCTTCCTCCTTCACAGTTACTCATGCTGAGCGCAGGTTTAGGTCTCACTCACACTCAGCCTTTCCCTAACCATGGAGCTGTGTCCACAGTGACACAGGGAGCTCACCCAGGCTCTCTGTCTGGAGAACCTTGCGTTTTCCCTGAAGCTGGCATTGGCCTTGGTTTTCTCATTTCCATGGTGGCAATACGTTCTGTTGCTCCTGAGTGTCTCAGCATTGTCCTATGTTTCTGTGATATATGTTTCATATATTCAAACTTTGTATTTTATTCATAGAATTCTCTTCCACTAACTTCTTAAACTATGCACCAGTCTGGACTTTTCCTTTGTTGCTTTCCTGTGTAGAAATCCCTATTCTCTGAATCTTTATCTTGGTTTACTGTTGTTTTGCTGTGCTACATTTCCCTGTAAGTAAAAAAAGCCATTGCCTTAGTTGCTTTCTCACTGTTGGGGCACAACACCTGACTCCACTTAAAGCAGGATAGGTTTATATTTGCTCACATTTCTGGCTGCAGTCCAGGGGTCGCCATGCAGCACAGGTGGCCGAGAGGAGACTGGGGGAGGGGAGGCGCTCAAGGCCTGTGAGACAAGAAGCAGAGTCCAGAGAGGAGCCTGGAGACACAGCCTTCCCGTGTCACACTCACAGTGACTGTCTCTCATACCCTCTGCCTCCTGACAGCAAGTCAGCTGTGATGGCCCTGTGATCCCCGCAGCCACCACAGGGTCCTGGTTATGATCCAATGGGGCTTCATGAGGACTTCTAGATATAAACTGCAATACAGGCTCACAGGTGATCCAATCTGAAGCCTTTGCTGTAGCAATGCGTCAAGTACTACGCCATGAATTTCAGACGACAGTGTGTAAAGTTGAAAATTTGCTCCTGAATTATGAAATATACACTATAAAGTGACCTGTGCATAGGAGGGCTCTAAAATATTTATATTCCAGAGCTCTCAGAGAAGGCCTCCCAACTCTGTTTATGAGCCCATGTGTGGATCTCTTGAGGTCACCCTCCCTGTGAGCCTGATGCTCCCCCTTCTTCCTATGCATGGTTCTCCATTCAGAGTGCATAGTTGGGAATTTTCAATTGCTGATTGATTCCAACTTGGGATGTTATCCATGGATTTTGTAATATTTGCTGTGTGTGTGGGTTTCCTTTTCATTGTGATCAGTATGTGTGATTAAGCATTTGATGTTTGTAAGACACTTGAGTTTAACTTCAGTGGTAACTTGTCCCTTGTGTGTCATAACTGGCACAAGATCTCTGGGTGTGCATGTGGCTGCTGGGTAACCTTTAGTCCTTTCCTAACACTCCCGAGTTCTGGAATTCCTCAGCACCAGCCCTGTGTGGAGTACTGCAGGTCAGTCCTGACCCAGCTGCAGAGCGAGTGCAGGGTAGGCAGCAGATGAGCCCCAGTGCCTGCCCAGGGCCCCAGCTGCACACCCGCCCAGACCGCCTGCTCTCTCTTTCAGTTGAGTCTTTATCTGGTTTTGGTATTGGTGTGCTATTGGCTTCCAAAAATGAACTTGGGAGCACTCCATCACTTTCAGTTTATTTGAAGAGATTGAGATTCACTGTGATACATCATCCTTAAGTTTTTGTAGATCTAAGCTGTGAATCCATCAGGTCCCAGGCTTTTTTCAGTTGTTTGATACTTTATTAGTGAGTCCATTTCTTTTCTTGATGTTTGATTGCTAAGCATATTTGTATCTTCTTGGGTTAGTTTTGGTAGTTTGTATGTGTCCGTAATGTCCATTTCTTTAAAATTGGTTAATATTTTGGAGTATAGTTTTTCAAAGTAGTTACTTTCTTCTGGATGTGACAGTGTCTGTTGAAATTTTACCTTTGTCACTTCTAATTGCATTGATCATAGTCTTTTATCTCTTTCTCTTGGTGAGTCTTGCTAAGTGCTTGATTATTTCATTCATTGTTTCAAAGAACTAGGTTTTGATTCGTTGATTTTGTCACAGTTTTTTCAGTCTCAGCTTCACTGATTTTTGCTCTCATCTTTATTACGTCCCTTCTGAGTTTCTGATTAAGGCTGGCTTGCTGTGTTTCCTCAAGGATCTCAAGATTTCTCATAGTATTTATCTAGACCTGCTCTCTTTTCCTAATGTGATAAATTGTGATGAATTTTCCTCTTAGAACTGATTTCACAGTGTCACTGAGAGTTTTTTGAGTTGTGCATTATTATCATTAACTTCCACAGTTTTTAAAATGTCTCCTTTGATTTGTCTGTGACCCATTGCTTATTTAGGACTATGCGGTTAATTTTTCCAGAGCCTTTTCTTTTTCCAAAATTTCTTCTTTCATTGATTTTTATTTTAATTGCACAGTGGTTGGATCATATGCTTAGAGGAGTTTCAGATATTCATGTTTCCTTAAGCAGCATTTGTGGACTAGTTTGTGATCTATTTTGGAAAAAGTAACATGTGCTACTAAAAAGTATACATAGTTTGTTCAAGAGGGTTGGAATGCTGTGTATACATCTATTAAATCCATATTGAGGATTTGAGGATGTATTTTAGCTCTGAAATATTTTATTGGTTTTCTTAGTTAATCTGTCTCTGTGAAAGCAGTGTGTTAAAATTCTTTACTATGATTGTATTAATATTTATCTGATTTTGAATTTCAGCAACTTTTGCTTATAAAGATAGATGCTCCAGTATGATGCATATATGCTGATCAGTGTTATCCTTCTGTTGAACTGCTCTGTTAAATATGAAATGATGCTGTTTGTGTCTTCTAATCCATTTTAACTTGGCATGTAACATGCCTGATATTAGAATTGCTACCCCTGCTTATTTTCTGGGTCCTGCTCCATGGAATGTTGTTTTCCATCTTTTAATTTTTAGTCTATGAATGTATCTTTGGATTGAGTAAGATTCTTGAATGCAAGACATGTTCAATTTTGATTTTTGATCCATTCTGCTAGTTTGTGTCTTTTGATTGGAGAGTTGAGGCCATTCATACTGAGAGTATTACTGAGATGTGCTGGTTATTTACTATCATTGCCTCCTTTGTTGGTGTATCATTTGTTTTACTTTTCTGGCTGTTTTTTGATGTTGTTTATCCACTGACCTCACTAGTTTCCTCTGTACTTGTAGGTGTGTCCAGTTTGTTGTTTCTGTGGAGAATAGTGAGTGTTTTCTCTAGAGCTGCTTTAGCACTCATACATCTTCTGAGCTAGTGTTTCCATGGAGGTACCTTAGTTCCCTATCTATTTTGAACTATAGATTTGCTAGGTAAATTAATGTGGATCGAAAGATATTTGCTCTTAGAGTACTGTTCTCAAAATACTTCTTTCTAAGCTCCTCTGCCCTTCAGGTTTTGCACTGAGAACTCTGATGTGATTCTAATTGTTTTTCCTTATATGGGATTTTTTATTTTTCCTTGGCTGCCTTTAAAAATCTGACTTTTTGCTGTATGCTTGTGAATTTTATGAAGATGTGCCTTGGTAAATTTCTGCTTTCATTGTAAATGTTTGGAATCCTATAAGCATCACTTACTTGTATATTAGAATCTTTTCTAGTGTTTGTGAAGTTTTCTTCCATAATTTCTGTAAGTATGTTGGTGACTCCTTGTGGGCCATTTCTACATTTTCCTTAACTCCAAGTAGCCTTAGATTGACCTTCTTGTTGTCATTCAGCACCTGCTGGAGCATCTTCTCTTGTTTTCTTATTTTCTGTTGGCTTTTTTGAGCTCTTTATCATAATTCACTCTTTTGTCCTCAACATCAGATATTCTGGAATGAATGAATGCTACACTGTTTTTCCATCCAGCTATTGCATTCTGAGTGTTTTTGAGGATTCTATGTTCTTGTTGAAATTCTCATTCAAATTTTGAGCTGTTTTGGTTAGCTTGTCCAATTTTACTTATTCCCCCAGTTTCACAGTGGGCACATTGATTGTATGTGCTATAAACTCTTGGTTAGTTTCCTCTTTGAACTCATCTATTTTCTTCATCTCTTCTAAGAATTTTTCATACATTTCTGTTATTTGGTAATTATTTTATTCTCCACTTATGACCCCTTGCCCTGCCTTGGGGGACCTAGAGGGTGTTTAGGAGATCTATTTCTCTACTTCCCCAATTTCCTACTTGTATATGTATTTATTTGATTACAAATAAATATATATATGTATATATAAATGATATATGTCCCCTGTATCTTTTTCTCCTCCCCTTTTGGGGCAGGAGTTACTAGAAAAGTAAGGAAAATGTGTGGTTATATGGAACTTTTAAGTAGGTTGTTGTCCCCCATGAAGAATTTTTACCTTTGTGTGTCCACTTCTACTGTTTATTACTTCTGTTATATACTTTAAGTGGTCTTGACTCTGTCTCTGTGTTTTGGCACAAGAATTGCTTCAATTTATAACAACATCCACAGATTCAATCTTACACTTATCTCTGATAGTCCTTGAAATTACTGTCCTCTCCTTGTCTTTTCTCTAGACAAAGGCCAGAACCTAGATATCTTTGAAAATCAGAGCCAATGAAGGCACAAATATATGAGAGTATCCATGTAATACGCCCATAAAACTACAAAGAACACAACATCATGTTACTAAGTAACTCAAGGGATGTAAGAAAGTTAAAACAACAAGATGACTCTTATGAACACAGATGAGATATTCCAATGAGCCCTTGAATAAGTGATTCCCAAGCAGTTTCTTTGCCTAATTCTAGTCTGAGTGTTCACACACCAGTGACACCTATGCCCCCTTCACAGAGAAGCCAGGCTTAACTCAGACTCAGGACCTCTTTCTGCCAGGATGCAGGCATTTTTGCAAAGTCTGATCCCACCTGAGATCTTGGGTAAGAAACTCTCTCTATCCTCTCCCTGGATGTGATGGTAGGGTGATGCAGCAGACAAGTTCACAAGCATTAAATTGTCCAGTGAGTCAGGATGATTGCTAGGCAGTCAATTCAACTGCAGCAGTAAGAGTCTAATCCATTCCAGTGCTGTCTCTCAGGGTTAGGGAGAACACACCACAAGGCCCTGTTGTGCATCTCCCTTTAGTAATGAGAAAATGATGTGAGCCTCCATTGCTGAGTAGCTCGGGCTGAATCAGGTGTGTCACTGCTGGTCCCAGGACGGTGATCTCCAGTCCCTGCCTTTCAGCAGGACTCACCACAATCTGCTGTCCAATTGCCAACAGCCTCCAGTGACTAACTTTTCCTCCCCAACCCTGGGGCCTTGGCAGAATGAAGTCCTCAGAGGGCTCCCATAGGATTGAAGTTCAGACTCCCAGCCCTTTCCCACAATGTCTTTCCAGCCAAGCCTGCTCTGCAGGGCTGTGTCTTAGTCATTTGTAAGTCAGATACTCACCACCGTTACCACTGAAAGTCACTCAGGACAGAGATGCATGTCCTTCCCACTGTTTTCTTCTACAGACTTCAGACCCCTTGTCCCGGAGGAGCAGAGCTATTCGAGCTCATTGCTCCGCCATCTTGTCCGCTCTCCTTTGTGTTTCTTGTTGATATTCTCTGAGTCTCTCCAACCTGGCTCCTTCTCAACTCAGCTGTGTGGGATCTTCCAGATCTTACCTTCTCAGTAGATCTTTTCTCAGCTTCTTTGCTTTGATTCTTCCTCTAGTCAGTGTTGTAGAATCTTCCAGATCATTCTTTCTCAGTGGATCTTTCGCAGTTCTTGATGTGACTTTTCCTCTAGTTATTCATGTTGAATGTCTTATTCCAACTTTTGCCTTGTTCAGGAGATTTGTTATTTGACTAGAATTTCTGCTGTCCCACAGGGGAAGGGATAAGAACCAGGCCCATATTGCTGGTGCCTGAGTTGAGATGTGGAATACAGAGTAATAAAATGTCCATGTAATAGCCCACAGGTCTGAGAATTCTGATGGAGACACAGGTATTAATATTCTAAATTGAGAATAGAGAATGTCTTTCTACCCTTTGCTTAGAAAAACATTAGCTTTAATGTGATCACATTTAGTTGACTTATATAATTATATGACATTGAGTAATATATGCTTTAAAGCAATAAAATATTTGACACCCTTTTGAAATATTTATTTTATGTCCTATTATTATGTGTTATTTCATAAGGCATTAAAGTGCTGACTGATACAAATTTTTCATCTGAAAATAATGCTCTGAAACACCCAAGGTGATCACAATTAAATACAATGCTTCATATGAATTTGACTTATAATCCTAAGCAAATTGGAGAAAACTTAATTTAGCCTAAGATTATGTGACTACTGAAAATTTAGCCTAATTCCCTTGGATCTCTTAGAGTAAATGTGAACCTGCACCTCCTACTTTAGCTCTGTTCATCAATTGTCCAAGCTCATAAATGTAGCTAATGTGGTTTCATTCCTGTTTTGCCAGAAAGGCATCACCTTGCCTGACACACTCTCTGCAATGACTCTGTTCTCCTCCTAATCACCTCCAGGGCAGTTCCAAGTGAAGGGACCAACATCACCAGTCACTGCCCAGGTGGGAGGAGCAGCTGTACTTCCCTGCCTCCTCAGCCCACCCATGGATGCTGGGAACATGGAGATCAGATGGTACCGAGACCACCAATCGGTACTGGTGCACGAGTACAGGGATTCTCGGGACCACACGGAGCAGCAGAGTCCCATGTACCAAGGGAGGACAGAGCTCCTGAGGGAGAACATCACCCACGGCCAGGTGGCCCTGAGGATCCATCCCGTCCTCCCTGGAGATGAAGGGCAGTACAGCTGCGTCTTTGTAAGATCCGCACAGCTCAGCCAAGCACAGTTTGAGCTGCGTGTCGCAGGTGAGCACTGAAAATGCTGAATTGGTATTTTCTTTATGCAAGCAGGACTCAACTGTATGTGTGGAAAATGAGGCTGCATCTGCATAAACACCACAATTGAATGCGAGGTGTTAGAGTTCAATTTCATCTACCTAGTCTTTGTAGAGTATTTGTTCTTCCATTGAAAAAATTCATATAGTTTTTCTTTGCCAGTATAGTTCCTGAAGGCCAGATTTGATTGTAAAAGCCAGTGTGTTCTCACTCCAAGCTTCTCAGAACATATCTCAGTGTAGTAATTTCCTTCTCAATTGCTAGACCCAGAAGGAGTTACACAGGGACAGGAAGGACAGGGCAGCCCACTCTCAAACCCTGGGTTTCTACATCTCACTTCCTTACATACTGGATGTGCTCCTTCTTATCACATGTGCTCTGCCAGCTCTTCCTCTGTCACCCTGTGGACTCAGATCTCTGCAGAAGAGTAAGAGTCTAGTTTTGAGGCTGAGCGATCCTATGGAGAAGGTAATGAGTCTGTAGTAGTAGCCAGGAGATGACATCCAAGCCGAAGGTGAAGACTGGAGCTCTTGATGTGGTGGAGAACAGAAGGTAGCCCTTCCTTCTTGATTTCTCGTTTATGCCCTTCAAATTACAGGCTGCTATAGAGCTTCTAAACTTCTCAAATTGACCCAATCAATTGAGCACTACAGTACCTGTCTCTACCCAATCTCTGTGGTCCTGGGGCAGATGTCAGCCCCTGTCTGGTCTTAGGATACCCCTATCTTCTAGCAGGTTCCCTGGGGTCTGCCCCACAGGCACCCACTGCACGTGAAGGACCAGCACCCACCAGACACACTCGCCCAGGCACCTGTAGGGCTGGGTGAATCTGACCTTGCTCCTCACTCACCCTGCCTCACCTTCTGGTGACATCTTCACTCTCCTGTGGGGACACCTGGGGAGACCCCGACACATCCCTTCCTAGAGGCACTGCAATCATCTTCCAGAATTTGTGCAACTGTGTCCTGTCAGGTTAGTACTATCCCTTAGTTACTGCAGACTGATCAGGTCCACAATCTCCCCAATGACTGGATGGTGAAGGCTAAATAAGGAGACAAATAGAATGATTTTAGGGCCCTGGAGGATCAAAACCTTCTCATAGAATTTGAGATTCTGTCGGGACTAAGACCAAGACTTTCTCTTGGCAGCCTATTTAGTTAGTTATCAGAACAAGGGCAGGAACCACTCAAGGATGTCTCCAAGTAAAGTATTAGGTTAATCCACCCAGGAATGAGCTGCCTGAGGCTACAGTGTATCTAGTTAAGGTTGGAGCCAGGTTTCCTTGGCTGTGACCTTGTCTTATCCTTTGAAGCTTTCCATCTTCATCCTCCATTACAGGTCTTAGTAGGGATTAGTGCTTCACAGTGGTTCACTTACTATGAGTCCACCCCAATCTCCAGACAAGAGTCCTAGGCTTTGGACAGACTCAAAAGTAAACAGGGAAAGGCAACTGGTTAATTTTTGTCTTGCTCAGCATTGCTTCATAGTGGTCTCCACCAGTGTCCAATAAATCTTTACTTATGTAAGTGAAAAAACTTCATGAGTGACTTTGAATCTGAGGCCAGCTCCTCTACTGTGTCTTCTAGAGCTTTCCTTCATTCCTTTGCAGCAGCCAGACTTGTCCTGTCCCAAGTCTTCTCTTCTGGCACAGATGGTATCATTGCTATCTATTGACTCAGTGCAATCTTTTTCTTTTTATGAAACTTTAACAGGAAACCTGTCCACTGGCATTTGCTTTTACCTCTTTTTTATCATTTTGTTGAAATGTGACATTGCATTGTTGTTAAACAGATGCACTGCTCATACTGCTATAGCCATATCTGGTGTTGTAGTTTTACAAAATTTTGCACTGTTTGTTGCATTTTACACATCTCCCTAATCTTACCTGAAGTGAGCAATTCCTCTACATTTTCTCCTCTTCCTTGGCAGAAGAGCTCCTCTGAATATCCTCTTGCTGCTGGCAGATGATCACCCACAATCTCTGGAGGAAAGGGAGAGAAGGAGAGACATTGGCTCAGTTGTGGTCCTGTGGCATTCAGGATCAAGGACTGTTCTTATTGCCAGGCATCCCTTGGTTATCAAGTTAATTAGAAATGTTTGATCCTTGCCTGGAACACACATAAAACAAGTTACTTGCAATCCTAGTTTTTTCAGTATTCTCACTTTGTACCCTGTAGCCAAACACTGTGTTTTCATATGTAAATTTTTATACTTTGTCCTTAATATTCAAATTTCAAATAATAAGCAATCACAAATATGTTGCACAGAATCCAAATGTTTTTCCAAAGAAAGTCCCTAAATTCACTGGTGTCTTCTTTCTACATTCTCCAGGAAATTGTCTCTGTTTTTAAGGATGTGGGAAACATTTCAGTTTTATTTTGCCTTTCCTCTCATGAAACACTACAGAAATGATGTCCTATGCTCATCCAATCTTCTTCCTCCATATGCATACATCTTAATGGACACCTGAAGCCCTGTGCTGATTGTCCAGAGCTGAATCTCATGAACATCTCTCAGGAGCTGTGCTGTCTTAGCTGCGTGACTACTGGTCCTCATTTCTTTAGTCTGCCCCATCCTCCTGGAGGAGCACAGTGAAGCCCAGGTCAGGAATCTGTTCCCCCTGGAAATGCGGTCTCTGCAGGGACCCATAGCCTCTCTCTGTCCCCTCCTCACTGTTTCCCCTCAAGGAGACGCTGTGCTGCCCTCAGCAGGGCTGCTCTTCTCCAGAGCTCAGCGCTGCAGCTTCCACTCCTGCTCCTGGCTGCATTTTCCTCTCCCCACCTCCCTACAAGAGACCAGTCCTGTAGACAGGCACAGCACTGGAGCAGGTGAGGCATCTGCTGTATGCACTGCTCTGCTGCATGCTGGGCATCATTGTGACCTAATGCTGCTATGAGGAGCAAGAAACAAGGAGGCTAGAGTGGGAGAGTGGACACTGAGAGGGCTCCACTCCTGCATTCTGAGGCTGCAGCTCCACTCAGGGAAGCCTTCCTGTGCACTTTGAGGAGGACCCCAAGCCAAGCTTGTGCAGGGAAGTAGAGCTGGATGGGATGGCTCCCTGCCTTTCTCTCAGGGTCACTGGCTAAAAGATGCTCAGGGCATGTCTAGTGATCACATCCATCAGTATTTTCTAAACATCACATCCATCAGTATTTTCAATTTGGTCCAGGTATAAGTGCAGTCATATGTACAAGGCACACTGGACCTATGTGGTGCTTAGCTCAGGCGTGCACACACACAGGATGTGTATTTAAACGTGCCACCCCAATACAATGTTTCAGTTGTGTGTTGCTCTGAACATTGAAACTGAATGGATACTCAGTAAAATGTAACTGGTTTTAGTTCAATCAACCATGTTGCACACACACCACACACACATGTTGCTGGTGTCTGATAGTTTGGACCACGGTGCCAGGACTGTCCCCGTCACAGGTTCCTGTGGAGAGTTCTGCTGCAGATCAAGAAGAGCTAAATGAGTGCTGTGAAATCAAGTGTATTTTACACAAAAAACCATGGGATGCCATGTGATCTGCATCTCTCAGCTCCAATTAGAGAACAGAGGATTTCAGCACACAGCTCAGGAGTCATCAGATGGAAGGATAAATAACACCTCCAAGGGAAGGAGGGAAAGGAAATAAAAGATACAGGACTGCTTGGTATTGCATATTTTGCTAAGTGCTGGCGTAGTTAATTTCACTTATTTAATTCATTGTGCAGGGAAAATACTTTATGTCTAGCATCTCTGTGACTCAATTTTCAGAAACACAGAGTTGGGATTCATAGAGGTTCATTAGTAAGCCTCAGTTGACTGATCCATTTGACGTGTTTGTAAACTCAAAAAGATGCATTATTTTCCTCTTGTGATTCCTCCAGCCTCAGGTACCCCTCCTCACATCCACATTCAGCCTGCACACACTGGGAGCATTAAGATGACCTGTTCGTCCTCAGGGTGGTACCCAGAGCCAGTGCTCCAGTGGAGGGACTCAAGAGGGTGGGCTCTGGCACCTGACTCTCTGAGGACGTCCCTACAAGATGATGGCCTGACCCACGTGGAAAGCTCTGTCACAGTGGAGGAAAGCTCAAGAGCAGATGTGTCCTGCTCAATCAGGAACCCTGTGCTCAGAGAGGAGCAGGAGGCGCATCTGTCAGTGGTCGGTAAGATTCCTCAGAGCCCGCATTGTGTGATGTCAGTGCTGAGGGGGAGGTGGACTAGCGATGGTCCTGATTGAAAAAGTACTAGAATGGTCCAGTGCATCCATTTCCAGCTCTTACTTGGAAAACTAGTGGAATATACCTCTTTTACTAGTTTTTATTTTTGAACAGTAGACCATTAATTCACTTCATAAGAAATGCTATCATGGATAAGCAAAACATGTAAGTGTAACAGACGATTTTGAGGAATATGTTGAAGTTCATTCCAAACTTGTCAGATGACGTTCACCAAGGGAGACTCCTGTATAACAACAGGAAGTTTATTCCTCCTTGTGTCACACTGAATTGAAGTCCTGGCATTGCCAACTGCTATCCTGGTGACACTGGACAAGTCCTGGCCACTGTCTGTCCAGTCCGCTGTTGAACAGCAATAACCCCGCTGTCTGTGTCATTAGACCGTCGTGAGCAGTGAGTCACGTCAGGCATCCGAGGGCAGAGAAGAGCTGCACGCCGAAGTCTGCGCTGTGCTCCGTCCGCAGTGACCGCTCCCAGGAGCCCCGTGTGGCTCCGACGCTCCCCGCAGCTTCCGTGACTGCTCTCCTCAGTCTCGGAGGAACTACGGAGCCTGTAACTGCACTATTCACTTGTCTCTCCAGCCTCAGCTGTTGTTTCTTTCCTTTTCTCCACCATCTCCCACCCCACCTCACATACCACCAAACCCATGGCACTGACTGCTGGGCCCCTTCTGTCTTCCCACAGGAGTTGTTTTCACTGGTCCTGACACCTGCACCCTTTTTAGGAGCCACTCCCAGCTCGGCCTGCACTAAGTGCTTCTCTATGCTCCCCTGTTTATTCTGAATTGTATTTTTCTGTATCCCCAAGTGGAGTATAAACTGTTATAGATATTGTGTTCTAATTCTTAAATATCCCCACAAGTTGGTAAATTAATTAATGCCAAATATATATTTCCAAATTGACATAGAAATTAATGTCTGTTGGAATTAAAAAATGTCATTTTGTGATTTAGTTTGGTAACTTACATTAAAGGTAATTAAAAAGACTGCTTTAAAAGTTGGAATTATGAAGGGAAAATTATGTATCAGAGGAATAAGTTTTTATTGACAGCCTTAGAAAAACAAAATTTGGGTGTTACAGTAGCTAACATGCTGTAGTTAGACTTTCATGCCAATAGAGACTTACAGGTATTTTCAAAACAATCAAAAGTTGGAGCTATGAAATATAATTGTTATTAATCCTAACGCCAGAAGACTCCTGAAACCTGTATGATAAAGCGTGAGGTAGATAAAGAACACATCTTCATATTTATATAATTTGAACTAATTTTGCTTAAGTAATTAAACAACAACTATCTGATTAGCTGATTAGCATGTAGGAATTGTTTTTAAATTATGGATTGAAGATTGTTCTTGAATGAGAGTGTTCTTGTTTCTCCTTTGGGCTCACATCACCAAATAGATAAACCCTGGCATCATACTCATTTGTTTTCTCAAGTTTAAATTACCACAGTTGGGGGCTGGGGATTTAGCTCAGCGGCAAAGCGCCTGCCTGGCAAGCGCAAGGTCGTGAGTTCGGTTCCCGGTACCAGAGAAAAACCAAAAAATAAAAAAAATTAAATTACCACAGTTGACCTTTTAGATGAATCCTTGCTGTGAGCTGGAATTGCCTTTGAGGCGTGGACTTGACGTCTACGTGGTTTATCCTCTGACACCAGTCCACATCCCCATTTTAGTTGTAGAACATCTCCACCTGTGTCCTCACATAAGGCTGGGCTCACAGCTATGGACAGGTGGGAATAACTGGACAGAGAGGACCGGGGCAAGTTCCCTTGAAGAGTGAGGGGAAGAGTCTCTCTGCACTCAGTGCGCTTGTATTCATGAACACTTCTGCACATTACTCATTTAAATACAGTATTCAGCCTGGATGGTAGATGCATGAATATCTGTTACAATAGCTTCTCTATTGAGCAATACTCTGAATCTTCCAAATTATTTAGACCCCCTGGTTCACACACTGGGGGAAGCAAGGACGCAGGAGACCCTCAGATCCTGAGTTCCTGAGAATCACAGTGACGGTGAGGCTCGGTGTCTCTGCCCTGCTCTCTCCCTGGAGAAACCCCCCGAGGGCTGGAGCCCAGTAGCCAAGCCAGCCAGAGTCCAGCTGGGTCTCAGAAGCTGTTTTCTGTTTTTCAGAGGCCTTGTTCCCCCGGGCCAGTGCTTGGACAGTGGCCCTGGCTGTGTTCCTGGTGCTCGTGGCCGTCACCTTGATGATCACTGGAGTTCTCCTCCTGAGATCTAGCAGAGCCCAAGGTAAAGGGAAAATAGTGTGGGTTGACTCATTTGTGGAGGGATAATGGAACCATAGTTATGTATAAGTCTATAGTGAACTTCGAAAATCTTGTTCATTTAAAATTTAATGGAAGAACCCTGAGGAGGAAGAACTCTTTGATTTGCACATTCTTGACTCTCATTGGGCATTTTCAGTGTTTTCCCTCTTCCCCACCTCTCTCCTCTTGATTCTTTCTGGACTGACCCTGCTTCCCCCACAGGGCCTTGGTGACCTCATCCTGGAGGTTCCAAGTGCTCTGCAGACCCAGAGACACAAGTCCCTGAGGGTCACATGGCATGGAGTTCTGTGCCGCGGTGGTGCGGGGCCAGGTGTCCTTACTGGCTGCTACCAGTGGGCGGTTCAGTGTCCACTGAGTGTCTGGCTCAGGCCTGGCTCACATACAAATATCAGCTAAGAGCAAGAGTGGTTCTTAGTTATATTTTTTTCTTTCTTTGGAAAGTTGAATTCTTTCTTTTCATGGATTATGGATAAGCGTCATGTGACACCCAATTTTCACAAAATCTCCCATGTCTTTTATTACTCTTTTATGTGATGTTGCCCTGAATGTCAGCCTCTGCTGGCTCCTCGGGGAACACCGTGTCCAGATAAGCAGCCGTGGCCAGAGCCGCCCAGTGGAGCTGCATTGGACAGCGGCCAGGCACCGCCTGAGTTAAGGGGAAAATAGAGGAGTGAGGGGACCTACGGAGACCACAAGATTCAGCCCCATCAGGTGGAACAAACGAAAAAGCACAGTGACAGACCATGAGCAGGCTAAAAGTCACCCTGACTTCGCTCTCATGTACACAAACCATTGCCCTTCCCCTGGAGCCCCTGCCTGCCCGACTTTATCAACTTCCTGGGCGGTGAGCGGATGTAGCAGACCCGGATGGAAGTGTGAGGGGACTCGCAGGCTGCACAATCGGACCCTGAAATCTCTGTGAGGACGGGGTCTGGGAGGTTGAAGCTGAGATCTCATGAGGCTGCTCCCTGTCAGGAGCCAGTGGGCTTCTGACCACTCTACAAACCCATTCTCACGGCTGTGTAGTTGGGAGGAGTATAGTCGTACTTTGTCAAATATTTAGTGAGAAGAGTTTTTGGAAAATATTTTCTCTATGAATTACATAATGCAGGAAATATACTAAATTGCTATTTAGGTAAGATTCTTTAAAAGTAGTTCTTCTCAGATCATTCTCTTTCACTTTTTGCTAATCACATGAAGCGATCAGTTTATTATATTACTAGTATCACATGGTCATAAGTCATTAACTTATACACGTGGAGTAACAAAATAATTATGTTCATCTTATTAGAGCCTTCTGTTCACTGCAATTTACAAACTGCTTTTCATATGAACTCTCAAAGAAATGTAGTATTAGTTTGGCATTTTATAATGAAATGGATTACTTTACTTTAGGAATCCAAATCCACACATGAGTTTATGAACTTGACAGTGGGGTCTTTGCCCAGGAAACGCTCTGGGCAAACTCTGTGACCCTGGGGGGAGGACAGGTGCTCCTGTTTCCATCACAGCCCAGGGTCAGAGGCAATCACAACTCAGCATCAAACACTAGTTATGTGGTCCAGGGTTCTTTCACCATAGTCAATGGAATGAGGTCAGTTTGCTCCTTAAATTCTACATTTTCCTGTGAAATAAATTTTCAGTGAGTGTAGATACCAAAGTGCACCTCCCCTTGGTCTGCACATCAGAGAGCTGCTCCTGCCCCATTCCGAGGGGGCCCAGGACAATTTTTCTCCCACACGGTGTCCCCACTGAGGCTCCACGCCCTGCAGAGAGCTGTGCCCTGCTTATCCAAGTGTTATTGGCTCTAGGCTGTAAACAGATTTCCTGCACTCTTTTGCATATCATTGTTTGGGTGACTATTATACATAGCCTTATAAAATATGTATCCTGTATTATATTGCTCCCCCTTGCAAAATAAGGCCCAAACCAACACACCAAGCAACCATCCCCAGGCTACTCCAGCTTCTCCTGAGCCCAGCTGCTGATGGCCCTGAACCATTGTCCCCCGCTGGTCCTGGTGAGGCTACTCCCTCTGGGGTGAGGAAGCTGCTGCCTGGTCCTGCTCTCTCTCCGCTCTCCCAAAGCCAAGCTTCTCCGGGCTCACACAGCCTTGTGGACAGCATCATTTAAAACAAAATGAAAGAAAAGCACCATCAAAAGCCTCTCAGACAGTTTATGAATCACCTCTGCCATTGTAGACGTCAGGAAAATTCGGACTGTGGACCTGGCTGCCAGTATGATGATGTTTGGGACGTTGTCTTTCTTCTCTAACTTTTAAATCACAGTTTCAGGTTTTCTAGCTGAATAGATCTTTTCCCATAGACACACAACTGATTAAATATAAATATTCTTTAAATCAACCTACCTAATAAAAACCCATCCAGACTGAATTCATCATCGACCACATTAATCCCAATATGAAAATCTGCTCAATTGTATGTTTCCATTTGCAATAATTCTGCTAAAGTTTTTTTTTCTAGAATTGAATTAATACTACTTTTGAGAAAGGAAATTTCAATTCGCCATACAATAAAACCATAGTTATGAGCAGGAAGTCATTGAACTATTTTTGCATAAATAAGTAATATGTAACAATTTCTATTCAGGAAAAGTTATTTCATAATCTTCATAGTTTTATTGTGGTGTCAAAGGAATCCCATATAAGGGAAACTGTACTTTATAATGATGGTATAGTTAAGTATAATTAGTGCCTTCTCCTATGTCTGATGCTAAAACATGGTAAATATTAACCATGAAAGATAGAGAGGTACTAGCAGGAGAGATGAATGATGAGGCAGACAGAGGGCAGACCGTGAGGATCACTGCAGGCCATGTGCAGGGTTTTCTTGTTTATCTTAAAAGTGGTCCAAAGCACTGCCGGGTTCTGAGTGGAGAGAGGGCAGCACTATGGTCACATGGTCTGGGCTGTAACGTGACTGCACCAGGGCATCCACGGACTTGTGAATTAGAGTTCAGTGAGGGAGCAGCGATTGCAGGAGACTCAAAACTGTAAGGAGACGGTGGAGGGAGGAGGGAAAACTTCTTAGTGCTTTGGTGAGGCTGGAGTCAGAGCCTGGCGGGAAATCCAAGATGGAGCAGAGAGGGATGAGTAGGGAGGAGGGCAGAGGGAGTGGCCCTGTTCTGGCCTGGGCATTTGTGGAGACTGTCCACTCCCTGACAGGAGATCCAGCTCATTCTCAGCTCCCACATCTGATCTTCTATTAATTCTCCTCCAGTAATGATCTCTTGCACAGCACAGCCCTGTTTATAACGGGACCAGGTCTTGTGTGACATTGGACCAAGAAGATATATCTATGCTTTATTCCTTTTTGAATTTATTGCTTTGTCTTTGATTTTTATATTCAGAGACTACTTAAGTCTGCACTTTTATTGACTCACAAGACCACTTTTTACATATCTTAATGTTTTAGCTGATGAAAAATTTAAGTGTTTTTCTTTTTATCATAATAAGGGAAACTTTATTATGCAAACGCCCAGAAAAGATGAGCTCTATGTACATTACTAATACCAAAAATATTTACTATTCAATAATACTTTAAAAGTGCAGATTTTTATATGAAGTATTTAAAATTACCATTAAAGTGAAAATGACAAACAGTGTGGTAGCTTTTTTGAATGTTTTTGTTGTGGAATAAAAATATTCTGGATTTATGTGTAAGATACCTCAAGTGGTTATATGTAGGTAAAGGAAACTAGTGAAATGTTTCTTGTTCTCTCTGATTTTTAAAGGTATATGACCATATTTTTCTTCTAAGAAGCAATATTTGTGATGAAACAGAAATAGAAATCCCTCTGCAGGAGTGCCCAGGTCCCTTTCGGTTCTGTAATCCACGTTGTTCACTGCACTGGGCCGTAATAAAGGCTGCAGAGGTCGCCCTGTGAGAGCAGAGACTGCACCTGGATCATCATGAGGTCCCTGTGCAGAGGCAGCACCTGCTAGACCAGTCAATGTTTGCTGAGGAGATGGAAATATTTGCAGTAAACTCAAGAATGTGGTAAAGACATAAAATGAACTAATGGAGAGATAAGTTAGCAGTAACAAGCTGCTCATGATAGTTGCAGGCCTCAAATAATACCAGCCTTACTGTTTGTCATATTCTTAAGAAGTTCAGTGGTGTCCCATGTGGAAATGCAGGACAACTGGACCTTTGTCCTGCCTTAAATTCCAGAAAGTTGCACAGATGTTCCCAAATATTTTACAAATTTTATGAAGACAAAGGCTAGGAACAACTTTCTTGGCATTTCAAAAATTAACATTCTTTTGCATTTTTCTTTTAGGGCAAATCAATAAAGAACACAGTAAGTTGTTTTCTTTCTTATGCTAAAGTAAAAGGTCAGTCCATGTATCATGAAAATATTTATACCTCTGTGTGTTTACAGAAAAAGTAAATTTTGTATATAGACCCTTTCTGTCCTTTTGCCTTCAACTCCAGAAAGCTGAACAAATATTCCAAAATATTTTACAGAATATATAGAGGCTAAGGCCAGAAACATTTTTCTTGAGTTTCAAAAATTAATATTTCTTTGCCTTTTTTTTTAGAGAGAATCACTGAAGAACTTGGTAAGTTCTGTTTTCTTTCCAGTACTACACTGAAAATTCAGTCTTTGTGTCATCAAAATATTTATTCCTTTGTGGATTCTTTGCAGAACAAAGAAAACTTTCTGTGAAGAACTGTAAGTAGAGTCCTGACTCTCACCACTGACCCCCACACCCATTACCCACAGCAGCCCTGCCTGCCCAACCGCTCCGCTGACTTTATGTCTCCATCTGTTCGTAGATCTGAAGGAAGCTCGACATTTTGCAGGTAATTGCAAAGGGCACAGTTTAAAGTGACTGCATGTTTGCCACCTCAGCTCTGTGGGATTCTAGTGTGAAAGGACAGGCTTGGCCCAATAACCTGTAAGACGTGTGTGAACTAGGAGGACGGCTTGATGCTGGATATGTACACCTGAGGTTATGTGAGAACCAGCACACTGAAGGTGGGAGATGATGTGTGAAAAAAACTCTTACGTAAATATACAAGGTATATATCTACATTGCCTTAACACATACCTCACATATCAATTTGTAAAACATAAAATTTTACATTGGCTCATGTTTCTTGAGATTTCAGGTCCTGGCAGTTGATGCTGTGGATTTTGCTCCTGTGTCAGGGGTGCAGGTCAGAGTGGGAGCCCAACAGAACAATTCACGACGTGGCCAAGAAGAATAGAGGAGTGGAGAGCCCAGTTCTCTTGCACGGGCTGTGCTGCTGACCCAGGGTTTTTCATCAAGCTCCACTGTTAAAATCCCACCCTTCCCAGTAGCAGCAGGTTGTAAAACCAGGGTCCTGAAGGATTCCAGATCCGCACACAGCACCTTGCAGAGCACAGATGCAGGGAACTCACCTCAGTGCCAGGGCAGGGTCTGTGCCAGTTAGGAGCATGGGCTTCATCTCCCTGACCCAGGGGCATCAGCACCAGAGCACCTCGGGGCCACGAAAGGCTCTTGAATATGGAAACGTTTCCCCTCCTCCTCCTAGACTTCTGTAGCATGGCGTCCTCCAGGTCTGTCAGGCTCTCTCTCCATGTGCACATTTGATGGCTTTTATTCTTCTTTAAAAAAAAGCAGTTAACAATAATAACTGGTATTGGTTGAATTTCTCCATTTGCTGTTGTATTACTTTTTCTTTCTTCACAGAAACCTTCATATGTAGCTGGGAATCCTCATTTTCTCTAGTCTTCAGCATCTCACTCTTCCCCATTGTTGCCTAACAAAGGTCCAACCCTAAACACACCCTCCCCAGCCCAGCAGTCCTCGCCCTCTGGCCCTGCTCCTCTCCAGCTCCCTCCTTCCTCTCCTCCCCTTGCTCTCCTCCCTCCCCGGGTTCCTCCCCATGAACACACTGACCACGCTGCTCTGTGCTGCTGTCCCGTGGTCTCCTGCTCCCTCTGTGGCAGTTTTCCTCTCTCCGTGGATGCGGTGTCCTGTGTGAGAACCCGGGAAGCACCATGAGCATCAGACACTGGTAACACCTTTCCCAGGTGTTGGCCCCATGCCCCCCATTCCTACCAACCGTGTCCTCAGAAACTGAGGTGAGAGTGCAACTCAGGCCCAAGTTGCTGTTTTAAGGAAGTTCTTCCAAAAGTAAAGATCTCCACATCTACATGTGGCATGATTCGTGGGCCGTGGGCTGTGGAAAGGACTCCTGCATCCCTGTGCTGTGTCCTCACCCCTCCTTTGACAGCACTCACAGAATTGAGAGCTCTTTTCTTAAGGCCTATGGGTAATGTGTCTCTTCCTTTTTTGCAGAAGACATAGTTCTGGATGAAGACACTGCCCACCCTCAGCTCTTGGTGTCAGAAGGTGGGAAGCGTGTTGAATGTTGGTCAGAACAGCGAGTTGTTCCTGAAATCCCTGGAAGATTTACCTTTGTCCCAGCTGTGCTGGGTCTGAACAGCTTCTCCAGCGGAAGCCATTACTGGGAGGTGGATGTAGGAGGGAGTAAAAGGTGGACAATAGGAGTGTGCTCGGATTTGGCCAACAAGAAACTATATTATGGGGGTGTTCATCCCCAGAATGGTTTTTGGACCATTGACAGGGCTCATGATAATTACCGGGCTTTTTCTCTACCCCGATATGATTTTAAGGTTGTAGCACCTCCTGTGACAGTGGGGATTTTTTTGCAATATGAGCAAGGATTGATCTCTTTCTATGATGTGGAGCAATTTACTGTACTCCATACTTTCAAAGGCAAGTTCACTCAGCCCTTGAGGCCATGTTTTTCTACTGGATTTCCCTCTCTAGGACATTATCCTGGCCTTTTCATCCCCACAGTGCCACCACCAGATGAATCTGGTCCTCCTTAGAGCACATCTAAAGGACCTTGCACAGTACTCATCCCCAGGGACCAGGACAGCCCACAGCTTCCCAGCCAGGATGCGCATTGTCAGGGCTGGTGGTATCTTCCTCCAAGAGAAAATGAAGTATAAGCCCTGTTACTTGCCAATTTTTACTGCTCAACCCTGCAGCCAAGCTTCCCCTTAATATATTTCCTTTGATCCCTGTCAGCTTTGAGAAATGCAACTTCTTTCTATTCTCCCTCTTCTGAACATCAAACTGTGGAAAGAGTTGGCTGCTTCCCTCAATATATCATCGCCATGCATTTCTCACCATGCTTTAGCACAGAGTGACAGTAATTTTATATTTCACCACTAACCATGGTCTCTTGACTGGTAAAACCAAATGTGCTTATTTCGTTGACCATGTTTATGATAAAATGAATGTGCTAAGATCCTGAGTGTGTGGGATAGCAACAAACTGAGTAAAATTAAATCTTATCAACAAGACCTTAGCAGACATTTATGTGTGGAAACATCATGTATAGCCCAATATGCCTTTGAAATTTTCTTATCTTGTTTTATATTTTAAAATATTTAATTGGCCATGGTGATATACATAAAGTACATAAAAGATGATTTGATGTTGAGATATGCACACACTGTGAAATGCTTACCACTATTGGTCAGACTGAGAGAGCCATCACCTCCCATGCTGGATATGGATTCTCTAGAACACGTCCGTCCTCTAAGTTTGCAGCCTTGGCGTTTGTTCTCCTATTACCTCCTCACCCCATTTTCTGGTAACCAGTGCTTTATCCTCTGCTTCTATGAATTTAACATTTTTATAAGGTTTTTAGTTTTCACATATTCATGAGTTTCTTCAATAAATGTCAAGACAAATTATCTCAGTTCAAGCGCATTTCCTCTCCTCTGAAGCAAAAGGCAGCATAAACTGGGAATACTGAGTAGAACCCAAGCCAGTGCTATCTTGTCTCCATTGTATTTCAACCATGAAATTCTGCATGCCACTTATGTTCCATCCTGGGGAAATTATAGACAAAACTCAGGAAGACAGAGAAAACTGAACTCTCACACATCGTTGGTGGGACCGTAAAATGCTACAGACACCATGGCAATGTGATTAGAAGACTCTCTTAAATATACAATCATCCTATGACCTGCATCTCTAGCTCAAGTTTTGTGCTGTAGAGAACTGGAACATGAATGGAGAAGTCAGCATAAAAATTTTATAGCAGCTTCTACACGATTTTCTAAACACTGAAAAAGTTCTCAATTCTCCTTAAGAATTTTGAATAAACTTTAGTACATTTATATAACTGAATATGATTTCAAAGTAGCACAAAATTGCTATTACATTTGTAATGTAATTATCACAGCTATGCTGAAAAAATATGGCAAAGGATTCATCCTATTTGTGTCCACCTGTCTGGAGTTCTTGACCTGACATGACTAG